AGAGATGATACGTCAGGCTTGTAGACAGCTAACCCACTCCATAGTAATGAATGTGACGTCAGGGCTGTCAGACAGCTACCGCTCGCCATGTTGAATCCAAAGATGATGACGTCAGGAGCGTGACAGCATACCCACTGCCAGTGTCTAATGAGATGGATTCGACGAGTTCAGGGCGCGTAGACAGTACACACACTGCCATGTTAATGAGATGTGACGTCAGGGCTGATAGACACAGCTACCCATGCCATGTTAATTGAGAGATGACGTCAGGCCCGTAGACAGCTACCACTGCCATGTATAATGAAGATGGTGACGTCAGGTCTGTAGACAGCTACCCAACTGCCTGTTAATGAAGATGATGAACGTCAGGTGCGTCGACAGCTACCCACTGCCCATGTCAATGAGTGATGATTCGCGCTGCAGTCAGCTACCCATGCCATGTATAATGAGATGGTGCATCAGGGCTGTAGACAGCTAGCAACACTGCAAATTGAAGAGCTGATCGATCGTCAGGGTCCGTCGACACTTACCCACTGCCATGTTAATGAGTGATGAAGTCAGTGCTGTCTCGACAGCTATCCCACGTCGCCATGTCAATGCGAGATGATGACGTCAGGCATGCAGCAGCCTACCCACGCCTAGTTTACATGAGATGGTGACGTCAGGGGCTGTAGAAGCACCGCACTGCATGTTAAATGAGATGCTAGTCAGGCTGTAGACTAGCTACCCACGCGCATGTTAATAGGTGATGACGTTCAGGCTTCAGACAGCTACTCACTGCCATGTTAATGAATATGACTGTCATGGGCTGCAGTCAGCTACCCACTGCATGTTAATGAGTGATGAAGTCAGGGCTGTAGAACAGCTAACCCACTGCCATGTAATGAGTGATCGACTCGGTCGGGCGTAGACAGCTACCCTGCCATGTAATGAGATGAATGACGTCAGGGCTGTAGACAGCGTACCCCACTGCCAATGTTAATGATTATGATGAGTCAGGGCCTTGTACAGCTACACCACTGCCGGATGTTATTCGAGAATGAATGAGTCAAGGCTTGCAGACAGCTAACCCACGGCCATGTTAATGAGATTATGACGTCAGGGCGTGACCAGCTACCCACCTGCCCATGTTAATAAGATCATTAACATCAGGGCCTGTAGTCAGCTACCCATGCCAGTGTGTAATGAGATGTTGACGTCAGGGCTGTAGACGCCCACTGCCATGTAATGAGGATATGACGTCAGGCTGTAGACAGCTACGCCGCAGCTCCATGTTAATGCAGGTAATGAACCTAAGGGCACGTAGACAGCTACCCACTTGCCATGTTGAATGAGGTGTCACTTCAGGGCTGCAGTCAGCTACCCCCGCAAATGTTTAAGAGGTGATGAGTCAGGTGCTGTAAGACGCTAACCCACTGCGATGTACTAACGAGGTGATGACGTCAGGAGCCGTAGACAGCTACCACTCGCAGTTAATGAGATGGTGACGTCAGGACTGTAGACAGCTACGCCACGCCATGTTAATGAGATGATGAACGTCAGGGCGTCGAGAGCTACCACACTGCCCTGTTGAATGAGATGATGACGTCAAGGGCCCGTCAGACAGCTCCCAACTACCATGTTAATGAGATGGTGACGTCAGGGCCTGTAGACGGCTACCCACTGCATGTTTAATGAGATGATGACTGTCAGGGCTGTAGACGGTACCCACTGCCATGTTAATTGAGATTGTGAATCGTCAAGGGCTGTAGACGGCTACCTCACTGACGATGTTATGAGTGAATGACGTCAGGAGCTGTAGACAGCTACCCACTGCCAATTAACTGAGGTGATGAGTCAGGCCGAGACAGCTACCACCACGCCATTTAATGAAATCATGAACGTCAGGGCTGTAGTCAAGAGAGCTCCACCCATCCACCAATGTTAATGAGGTGATGACGTCAGGCTGTAGAAACAGAGCTACCCATGTGCCGATGTTAATGAGAGATGGAACGTCAGGGCACACGGCAGGGCCCGACAGCTACCACCACTGCCTCCCATAGTTATGAGGTGATGACGTCAGGGGCTGTAGAACAGACCTACCCATTCTACAAAAGCTACCACAC